GTTCCATGAGCAAAGCCTTTTGTTTAGTTTTTGCAATAGACATTTTGACCCACCAGTTGTCTATGGAAATCTTGAGTCAAACTTTTGGCAGAGTAGCAAAAGTCACCAACAGTCCATCAACCAAAGTCCAAACGGGTCACAGTCATATTCCCACTTGCAAGCATTTGCTGCTCTCCGCTGATGGTTGTGGCCGGATTGCGTGAAACGAGGCTGATTTGAAGCCGAAAACTATGAAACTTGTTCGTGACACGCTAAAGCGAACATGTACAAACGGTTCTTTCACACCATCGCTTCAGGCGCCCAGCATCAGCAACACAAGGCGAACCATTGGCATGGGCTGATGGTGCTTTGTTTGAAAACTGGAGCCCCAAAAACGGTTTGCGGAAGACGGCGTCGTGGACGTAATTTTTGAACCACAACCATCGAGGCAGTTGCGCTGCGAGGTTTGATGGGAAATCACTTCTAGACATGAACTGCATGGAGAAACAGTGAACTGCCAAGAACTGTTTACAATAGTTCAAATCCTGTCAAGAAACAAACCTCTTAACCACTATACTTGCGATGCAAATGCAGCTTATTTGAGCAACAATATGGAGTTTCATGAACTATTGCCTCATGAAACAACAGGATGTGGTTTGGCACGCAAGGCCTCCGGCAGTTTCTCCGTAGCCTTCCAGACATCGGTGATATCGCAGAAGGCCAATCTGAAAGACACATGTGGCTGTCAAGTTGACTGTTGATTTGTTTCTCAAGTTTTGAACATGGTGAGGGGTTGATCAATGATTCAATGTCGAATTCTGTAGCACTTCTTTTACCTGATCACCGGTCCATGTTGAAAAGAATCAGTTCCACAAAAAATGCGAGATACATCCTGTTGCAAACATGGTGCTGGTATAGTATTGGTATATATAGTCTATATCCTTATGAACTCACATTGTTTTGACCTTGATGTTGTACATTGTTGTGATATATATATATATATATAAGACATCTGAAAAACCCTCAGGTCAGCACTTCTGTGGACGGCCGCAACGTGGCCAAGGTGGACCGATGTTTTTGGCACAGAAACGTCGAAAAGTTATGTTCGGAGCAAAAGAACATGCTAAGGAGCGGTTTGTTTGGAGAGCACCGATTGTTCTCCACTGGTGGACAGGGTCCTTGCCTTGTTTTTTCAGCCAATCATTTATCGTGACTTCCCCGCACGAGTTCCGCGGAACTTTCCCCTAGTCTATGGATTCCGGGTTGCTGGAGTCCTTTTTGAGCCAAAACCAGCCAGTGTTTGGCTGCTCTCTTGGAGAATCAACTGGATAGATCTCCAAATACTTCCAGTTCTCTCAGGTCGTTCGAACCATGCGGCCACGTCGTTGTCGCTCACGCTCCCCAGGCGCTTCCCGGTTCCGGGTCGATGCCCGCTGCACGGCCTCCGTCGCATGCCTGGAGCGGGCGCGGCGGGTTGAGAAGTGGGGAGTGAGGAGTTCCTTGACATTAAGGATATGTCTTTGTGCAACCTTTTGCGAGACAAAAGGCGAGACAAGCAAAAGATGTCTTGTTCCCTTATTGCCGCGGTCAGGTTGGACCTTTAAAAGTGATTTGTCTCCTCTCAACATGCTGGCAAAGCTGCAGGGATAGCAGGCAGCAAGGCCAGGTCAGTCCCAACACAATCTACTCAGTCACTGCTCAGTGATTTTCTTCCTTCCTTCGGTTATATGCTTAAATCATCTTAAATCAGGAGCTTTGGGTAGAAATGTGTTCACCGAGACAACGGTCCCATTTTTCACCTTCTTGTGGCACAGATGGCCGAGCGCGGCGACGCGGTGCCAGTGCCCGGAGCGCCCAGAGAGAGGTGTGCGCGAAGGTGCCCAGTGCCGAGGCGGCCAATTCACAGAGAGTTCTTCCCCCAAAAACCATGGTGTTGGCTCGCTGGTTTTGTGGATTCAAAGGTTTGGGTTTTAGGGTTCGGAGAGAAGCTCTCAAGCTCTTTGGGTCCGGACGGTTTTTTTTCACTCAGCGGACTCCAGGCTCTCGGTTCAAGGGGTCGGTCCCAGACACGATGCTTTATGACAAACCACTGGTCCATTCCACCAAAGGCTTGATGCGCGAGAATAGAGTGTATGAGTGATTTTTGGGCATAGCTACATGACATACCATAGCATCGCTTTTATTATTCCACTGATAGGAATTTTGACAGCGAGTTCCACAGTTGCCACAGCTGCTCGTGTGTTCCACCTTTATGTCCCGAACGACCTTGAGAGGCTTTTTACTCCGACCTCATCCGAGCGGGCACCCTCAAACCTCAGGTGTTTGCTCCTCCAGTGCCTCCAATACCTGGGCACTTTGGAGCTGAGCGCCGTGGGTGGAGATGCCCTCTTGTGGATGGTGCGGTTGCGCAGAGACGCCACTTTGGGGAACGGCGGCATGGACACGGATGTTTCCTCAAATGAAAAGATAGATTGATATATTGGACATCAACACGTTGAATTTTGGTTTCCAATTTTGGACTTATGCCTAGAAATGTCTCATTGGACGTAGTTGCTGCAGTTGGGAGGCAGGGGCCTAATGATGCCTAATGTCTTGTCAGCCACGTGCAGATCACCTCGGCAGCCCTGGGCCACAAATTTCACGAAGATGGCCATAGGCATTCGAGCTGCGTATCCACCTATATCCACCTACACTCCCTGAACTAACGATGGACGTGTAGATGGGAAAAGGGCGCCGAAAGGAGGACTGCCATTTTCCGAAGACCAAACAGGTGGGGAAACCATGATTCCAGGTAGTGTATCTAAAATGACGATACAAGCTGCCGAGGATGAGGGTCTGAACTTGAAAAGTCAGCGGCTCAGAGATGGGCAGGTCTCGCCGGTGTTGGAGGCAGCACGACGGCAGATCTTGCAGGACCTGTTTTGTTATTTTTCTTTTTTTGCATTAGCAAGGACGCTATTAGGTGGAGGCTATCGCAAGTAGGTTGGAGGCCATCGCTACTAGTAACAAGAAGCTAACCTTTCTCTTTGGAGCAGCTTCTTCTCGTTGCAAGGACCATGCTGAACGCCGGACCTTGGAAGCGGAGGCCGGGACCTTTCGGCAGAAGGTGGAGAAGATGGCCATGGAGGCGTGGGACGAGGCTTTCCGTCTGTGGGACGAGGTCGGTGGGACGAGGCAGTTCGCAGGTTTTAGCCGGGCCCCGTGGACCGTCCTGGAGTTACATACCGTCTTGCTGGCGAAGCGCTCGCTTCAAGGGGAAAAACCGCAGGTGGAAGATCACCACAGTTGGCGAGAGCGCTCGGAGGAGTCGACCACTGTGGCGAGTTGGAAGGGTGGTCTCATGGAGGGTTGCTAGCTGCTAGAAAGAATGTCTGAGGATGTTCGTGGATCTTGTCAGTTATACACAAGCCAGTGAAGAGATCTTTTTGCAGCATCATGCTGCGAGATCTCTGCTTCAAGCTCATTCTGAGGCGGCTATAGGGGCTAGATGAGGCTAGCGACTAGAGTTTGGAGCGCAAAATGTGTCACATTTTTTGAAGGTGTTGGAAGCGCAGCTGGATGCAGTTGGGGGTGTTGTCTTTTTCACGTCCCTCTGACGCTTGTTGACAGGAGCGTCTCACCAATTTGTTGGGAAGACACGAGAGGCAGTTGGAGGCGCCTTTCTCCGCTTTGTCTCCGCTGCCTATTTTCCAGATCCGCCTGCGGGCGGTGCCGCTTTGGACGTTATGGATTTTTGGAAACGGGCATGAGCAGCTTCTTGCAACATGACGCTGAAGCTTCTATATTGGGTCCGTTAACTTTCAGCTTCTGTTTCCACTAGGGCTCACCAGGGTCAACTTCTTGTTTTTTTTAGTATCGCCCCCTTCGACCACTCGTCCAACGACCCGGTCATATGTGCTTCAAGACTGCCAATCCCGCTCGCTCGCGGCGAGTTCGGACCGCGACGACGAAGGCCTTCCAGAGTGAGGCGCAGGCCCTGAAGGGGCAGCGCAGAGAAGTGGAGGCCGAGCGTTTTTGACTTCGGGGAGGGTTGGGACTGAATCGATTGGGCCTTGGGAGACGCCAGGGCCATTTGGAAAGAGACAAATTCACACACTTTCTCAAGGTCTGGAGAAGGGTGTTTCGGATGGTGTTCTCTTGGCCGGTTCAGTTGGAAGTCAGAGGTGGGAGGTCGTGCTTGGAGGGTCACCGGAAAGATGAGGGAAGTCAGATACAAAAGAGGTCTCACCGTGAAAGACAGATGGACCATGGTGAGGCTTGTGCAAGACCGTGTCGAAAAGGCGAACCTCAGGTTATTCTAATTGTTACTAGTAAGGCACTTGTTCCTAGCTTCTTGTTTCTACTAGCGATGCACCCGTTCCTGTTGATTGCCTTTTCAACTTGCAGCTTCTGGCTTGACTTTTCAACCAGGCCACGCGCAGGCAGCTGGATGTCAAGGCTTGATCGTTCCTGCAGTGATCCGGTCTCCGGCCAAACGAATAAGCCACTGTTTTCTAGCAGGAAATGGGGTGCCATTTGGGCTGTCACAAGATTCAAGCCAACCAAAACTTCGAAAACAGCAGGAACACCCCAAAAGGCAATGGGAGGAATTTTGGAGAGTCTTTGGATTCATGTCATCAAAGAGGTGTCTACCTTCTTGTGCGAGGGATTCGGAAAAGAGAAGATCCGAGGGGACCTGTTGCAAAGAACATCATTGCAAATTCAAACCACCACCCTGTGTGCTTCATTTAGCTCAGGGTGAACCATATTCGGGACCAAAGGGACATCCCACACCGTCCCCTTGTTCAGAGAGAATGTCATCCTTCGTGATCCTTCTCGATTCTTAATTTATGAATCTCCATGAAGAGAGAACCTCGTTTTCTGCACGGAGGAATATTGACTTATATGTTTTGGGTCCCCGCTTGCCGCTTACTGTTCGAAATGACGTGCCACGTGGCCATTCCAGCTTCTGAACGCGGGGTGCACGGCGTGAGCAGAACAATCCGAGCTTGTCAAACGCTTTTTTGGCTGCGTGGGAAGCCATGGGAAGTGAGGAGATGCTTGGGGCGCTGATACGGCGTGGGAGGAAGATTAAACTAAATAATGGTGTTGATTTGTTTGGTTTTGGAGATGAGTTGCTCAGTGCTTGCATGGTTTTGCAGGGCACCCAGGAGGCTGTCGTCACATAGTCTAGTCACCGTTGATTAGGCTTTTCGTGGAGCTCTGCACTGCAAAAACGTGAGGCAGTAGTAAATGGTCCCTCTAGTCAGGAAGCGGTCGTTGGGTCCGCTTTTGCAAAAGCAGGAGGATCCCTAGCAAAAGGTTATCCCGGCAAGAGATTCCAAAACAGTGTTCAGAAGAGTGGTACTGTAGTGAGAGCCCAGAGGGAACCCCATTTTCTGTGTTTCTTTTTCAACGTGTTTTGGGATTTTTTTCCAGTCTTCGAGGAAGGAAGGAAGGAAGGAAGGAAGGAAAGAAGGAAGGAAGCAAGCAAGGAAGCAAGGAAGCAAGGAAGCAAGGAAGCAAGGAAG